AGGTGAAGCAACACCTTTGATATCCTGAGAGAAACCTGCATTTCCACATTCAGTCCAACTATGAATCAGATATGAAGGCAGAACAGAGACTTTTCCTGGATATGCAGGCGCCCATGTGACTTCCCCTGTGCACGCTCTCTGGCTTTACTGCAGGATGTGCTCCAGGGAAACAATGGTGTAAAACAAAACACAGGAAGACGGAGGATCCAGGGCACAGAGGACACACAGCAGAGTAGGGGCGCAGACATGTCCAGAGGGGGAAGAGGTGTCCTGTTGTGAGGGCTGCAAATAAGGCCACATCCAGACCGGAGAAAAAGGACAGAGGGCTCCAAAAGGGAGGTCCCAGGAAAAACAACAAAGGCAGCCAACGGCAAAAACCAAAGCAAAGAGAGGAGCCGATGGAATTACTGCCTGATGTATTTGGAAATGAATGTCGACATGCCTTTGGGAACCTGTAGGCACTTTTGGGAAAAGAGATGATGGGTGCAGAGAAACAAGTAACAACAAGGCAATTATTACCTTTAGGTAAAACAACTGGTTATCTAAAAAAGGAATCACAAACATAGGACGCTACTTGCATTAGTCATAATACTGTAACGCTGACGGCTGTGGCTCCCAAGCCACACTGGGAAAATGGGGAAAGGGACAGTGCGGATGGCTGTACAGGAGACTTGAATCCTTGCCTCTCGTCACAGGAGCTCAATATCTCTAAAATGGATAAATCAAGGAATAACGCCCTTTGCCGATTATTTGGAAATAGAGGGGCAAATACTAGGAGAAACAGCTAAAATGGTTGAAAGTGGGGAGACTTGGGGTGTGTGTGGCTCTTGTTCATAATAAGCCTCTTGGAACCATTTGGCTTTTAAGCTGTGTCATAGACCATGTGTGTTTCATGCCACTGAACTCGGACTCCTGGTGACTCTGAACGAGGCGTGTGCAGTGTCCTGTCCTCAGCCGCCCTGCTCAGCCCCTGTGCACTCATGCCTACAGCTGCTCTCATGTAGTCAATCCACCTCATATTCAGTCTTCCTTTTTCCTGCTGCCTTCTGTTTTTCCCCCGTTTGTGTCCTATGTTACTCTGATAAAAATAAACACGAATGCTTTCAAAAGTGAATGACAGAGCGACCTGGAAAGAGCATGAATAAATAGCTTATTTTATCTGAACGACTTGGATTCCAGTACACTGTAGGAACCATTTGACCAGGAAACAGGGAGCGAGCTGATACAGTAAACCTGTGCCGGGCCAGCCGAAGCCTCGGGTATCAGCACCGCCTGCAGATTACACATCGGGCACCAGCCTCTGGCAGCGTGGACGGATCAAAGCTCACAGCCAATATAAACACCTCGCGTCTGAACCCAAGTGAGCGGTTCTGTCTCGGTTCTGTCTCAATGGGAGCTAACAGTGTGTCTGGCATGGTGCTAACTGTGTTCATGCTTTATCCCACTTAATCTTCCTGAGAAGGTTGCAGAAGGGTCTTTTACTATCCTTGCAAACCAAAGAGGAAAATTAAGCATGGTGACGTTGCAGAAAATGCCCACATTTATTGCATTTACTAAGAGGCGGAGCTGGGAAGGGAACCTACGTCTGTAGGACACCAAATCTAAACTTCAAAGCATAGTCATTCGGCTTCTGGAACTCCAATGTCTTCACACATTTACAACTATGCAAGACAGGTCACACTTCCTGTTCAATCACTTCCGAGTTCTTTGAGTATGTCCCTTACCCTCTCTGATATCAGTGTCCTCCTCCTAGAAACTTAATGTGTCCCATTCAACCTCACTCATGAGGCACGAATGAGATAACACATGTGAAAAAACTTCTATAAACGCCGTGTCAATTTATGCAAATGAAAATATTATTTTTGATGACGGGGCGGTCTTGCGATCTGGTCTCCTATACAAACTTTGGAACAGCCATCCCTGGGCCACCTGCATGACCCAGCTCTAGTACAGATCCCGAGAAGGGACAGCAGGGGTTCTGGAGAGACACAGCCCCCAGGTCATCTGCCAGGCTGCTTCTGTGGGTGCTGTGATCCCAAACGTGGCTGGCTCTGAACACGTCAGTCACCACTTGTACTTGGGGGACGAGTAATATTTAGTCCTGAGAATTTTTTTTTTGATTTCCCATAAATCCCAGAGTCCTCAGAAGCAATAGAGTCCTTAGCTCCAGCTCAGAATTTACAACTAATGGACAAGTAGTTACCAGAGGGTAAGGGGTGGGGTAGGAGGGGAGAGGTAGACGGGGTAAAGGGGTCAAATGTAGGGAGGCGAGTGGAGGGTGAAGTGGGTAAAGGGGATCAAATATATGGTAGCTGAAAGAAACTGGACTTTGGGTGGTGATCACACAAGAGAATATATAGATGTCAAATTACAATGTACACCTGAAAATTATATAATTGTATTAACCAATGTTACCCCAATAAGCCTAATAAAAAAAAAGAACTAGACTAAACTGAGCAACCCTGAGAGGGAGACGATCTCTCTTCCTCTGCCCAGGTGTTATGATCTGGGGTAACTTTTCACCTGCCAGGGTTTAAGGAGATTTCATCAGTTCAGTGACTTTCCAGACATTTTCTGCCCACGTCTGCCACCTGGTGGACAGTGCTCACTTTTCATCCCCAATCGTTTTCGAAAGTGCTTTCTTATTCATTAAAGAGCCAGCAGTTACTCTCCTGACCTGTGAGGTATGTTAGGCTGGTATTACCATGACCACTTTATAATGAGAAAACAAAGGCTTAGAGAGAGGAAGGAACTTGTAAGTTCCTGGAACTACATTTCGTGGCTTTTCCCTCCATTCAGCAAAAACCCAAAATACTTTAGTCTGCGTGCTCTGGGTGTGAGCCCAGTTTAAGTTCTGGCTCAGCAGCTGTCACCAAGTGAGGTCCTTTCACAGAGCTGCATTTGATCACTACCAGGCCCTCATTACTTTGAATATTTGCATTTGGTGGAACTATTCTGTGTCATGAATGTGCTGAAGCACTTCCAGAAGGAAGAGTGATGGCCGATACCCCATTTCAAATCGTGTGTGTGTGTGTGTGCGTGCGCGCGCATGTTTTAATGGTTAGTGGGTTCCTGCGATCCCCTCAAACTGGGTTTAGTTATGTGAAAACAGAGGCAGGGGGATCTGCCGGGCAAGGACTCAGTACAGCCACGGACTGCTTCAAAACAGGGCACTTGGCTTTGAAGTTCTCTGGCTTCGGGGACATTCGCCACCCTAGGGAGAGTCTGCCCTCCCAGGTGCAGGGTGACCGAGCTCTGTGATCTGGAGTCAGGCGTCCACCTTCGACCCCACGGACACTGCCATTTAAGGAGATACGCGACCTCAGGATCTTATGACCTTTCTGGGCCTCATCCTCCTCACAGGGCCGAATCGCAGAATTCCTTTCAGAGGTGTTGTGTCGAGGCAGCCACACAACTTACAGAAAGCACTCGGCACCCAGCCTGTCACAGTGCGACCCGGACACGTGTCAGCGGGCCTTCTCCGTGTTGGGAACGAGCCGCTCAAGGTGGCGTGCTGAAGGCGGCTCTCCCGAGACACAGGCGCATGCTGGGGGTCAGCAGAGCGGGGTTGACTTTCAATGTGTTCTCTGAGCAGTGGTTCTCAGCCCGGGGGGCTCTGCTGCAAGGCCCTCTCCCCAGGGAGGGGTGTGTAGGTGTCCAATGAGAGGAAACACTGCTAGCAGCTGGGGGAACTGGAAACAAGCGACTGTCCCACTCAATTAAGGACTGTCCCTTGACTAGACATTTCTCTGACGAAGATGCACCAAAGGCTGGTGAGCATTTGAACAGGTGCTCAATATCACTAATCTGTAGGGAGATGCAAATCAAAACCGCACGGAGATACCATCCCCTCCTCATTTAGAAGGCAACTATCCAAAAACCCCAAAACAACAAGTGTTGGTGAGGATGTGGAGAAATTGGGACCTTTCTGCACCGTTGCTACGGATATAAAATTGGTGCCGTCACTATGGAAAGCAGCATGGCAGTTCTTTAAAAAATAAAAAATAGAACCACCACATGATCCAGCAGTATCACCTCTGGGTATACACCCAGATCAAGTGAAAGCAGGGATGTGGGCAGATATTTATAACCCCGTGTTCACAGCAGCATTAGTCACACTAGCTCAAAGGTGGAGGCAACCCAAGTGTCCCCCTGATGGGTCAACGGCTAAACAGGATGTGGTAAACCCATATGATTAAGTATCAGTCAGCCTCAAAAAGGAAGGGACTTCCGACACAGGCTGCAGCGCGAAGGAACCTTGAGGACATGACACTAAGTGAAATGAGCCAGTCATGAAAGGACAAATCCCGGAGGATGCCACTTCTACGAGGTCCCTGCGGTGGTCAAGTTCATAGAGGCAGAAGAATGGTGGTTGCCAGGGGCTGGGTGATGGAGGGTGAAGAGTGAGTGTTTAATGGGGACCGAGTTTCAGTCCTTTAGGATGAAAAGAGTTCTCGAGATGGACGGTGAGGACGTGAACGCAACGTGCTTATGCCACTGAACTGTGTACCTAGCGACGGTTACGACCGTAAATTTTTTGTCTGTTTTAGCACGATTAAAATAAATTGTCCCATCCAACGTGCCAATAGCATCCATTTGAGTGATACTGCCAGAATATCTAAAAATGGTCAGATGTACATGCATCAGGTTACAAGAAGTTCATTCAGACCAGTGAGAACTACCAGTATTGGCCAGTATTATTTGTCATGCTTGTCTAGGCTTCCTGTTTGTCTCTGTTGCCAGGTTAAGGAGACCTCTAGGATCAGGTTAAGGAACACCTCAAGGAGCCACAAACACGGTGACAGGATCGGAAGGAGGCACATTATTTAAACTGGTACCTTTAGTTTCACGGAGTTCTCATTTATTTACAGTAATTAATTTATAAATTCCTTCTACTAATCAATAAAATCACGTTCGGGGCAACACCTTGGGATTCCCAGCTTCAGATGATACTTTGGAATTTCAATAGGAAACTCTGAACAGGAAGAGGAAGTTCTTACCTTGTAGATGCAGGATTTAGCATTCAGAAAGAAGAGCTCAATGGTGGCATTGTCCTTTAGGTAGGAAATGCTTTCTATGTAGAACCTGGAAGACAAAAACTGCCAGTGAACCACAGAAGCATCGACTGACCGACCAGATAATCGAATGTCCTCTGAGCCAGAGGATGGGGCACGGAGACTTGAATGCCCAACCCTAAATAAACGAAAGAAAAAGGCATCGTCGGTTGTTTTCACAGGATTCCTTTTGGAGAGAAAACAGTTGTTTTTCAAGTCCATTTATGGCAGGTTAGGACCATCTTGCGTGACACCTCTCACCATCGTGAAGAACTGGGCCTGCCATTAACTCCTTAGAGTGGACTTAAACTTGACCATCTACTTTCTTTTTCCTTATCTGCTTCCCATTTTTAAACATTATTTGTTTTCAATACATGACTTTTTTGTCCTAATCATTGCTGAGGTGGATTTTTAAAAGATAATTTCCTCTGCTTCATGGGACGACAAGCCCTATTTCTCTATGAAATAGAGAAATTTCTCTATGACCTATCTTCCCGATGGTGGTGAGGTATGGTCTGATTTCTCCTCATCCACAGGGACTGTGGCAAATGTTCTCAACACTATGACATTAATGCATATTAAGCCAAATGAGAATTGAATTTTTATCCAGATGGAGCGTATAGATTTTTTTTCAAGGTGAAACATGCTGAAATTAAGTTTACCTTAAATGTGCCTTTACACATCGACTTTGGAGTTGATTAAATTCCTTAATTAGATAAGGTACTTGTACTAGTGTACGGGTCAGCTGCACGAGGGGGTGTGAGTCAGTCAAGGGGAGAGGGGATGACGTAAATGCAGAGCCCTGCAGGGGGAAGGGCTCTGAGAGGGGGGGACGACTCTGGGAGGGCACTGGGTACCTGCCTCGTGGAAACTGGGGGTACCGAGAGGGGGAGAGGCGAAATAAGCAAGTCACAAGACCAGTGACCCGGTCCCAGCTCCGTGGGATTTAGGGCGAGTCACATAGTCTCTCCGGGCTTGTTTTCCAGACTGTAAAAGAGACGGCGGAACTCGGTCAGTGTTCCTCCACCTAAGAAGTCCACTGCCTTCAAATGCTGGAACCTAATTCAGACGAAAACGAGAATCACAACAGCAACAAGGACAAACCAACACTATATGAGGCGCACAGAACGTGTCCGAACGCTAGGTCAAGTCCGCGGCTCACCACTTAGCGACTCATCTGTGGACTAAGTAAATGATATTTTCTATCGTTCTTCAAATGTGTGCGAGGCTGTTGTGATTAATACAACACAGATTCACTTACATCTGTGAGCGAACCCAGAGTAACTTCAGAGATTAGCAGATACCGTCCATCAATGGATGTGAGTGCGATCACCATCATGTGAGAGTCTACAGAATTTTTGGAAATTATGCTACGGCCTTCATTCTTGCAAAGCCTGGGAATGAGAAGGCTGGTTGATCTCTGCCCCTACCTCCCCCCGGCCCAAAAAAGCACCTGCCTCCTGCTTTTGAAGCCAGTATTTTAGGACATGGAAACCTCCATTCAATGTCTGTAGGGGGCTGGGAGGAACTAAAATTGCAAGCTAGCAGTTCTCTGATAACAGAGACTTGAAATGCAGTAACCAAGTTGACATCTCAAAGCAAAATAAGCTAAGCTTGATTTACTTTAATAAAGAATGAAGAAAGGAAGGGAGGAAGTTGAGGGAGAGACCCAGGGAAGGGAAGAGAAAGGAAGGGCGAGGAGGGGAGGGGAGGGGAGGGGAGGGCAGGAGGAGAGGGTGACCAAGCCTCCGATCCCAGTCTGGGTGCTCGGAAGGATGCCCGAGGGCTGGGCGACTTGCAGGCGTGTCCTGCTGCAGAGGATGCTCGCTCTGCGTCCCTGTTTGGGCTATTCCTGTCACCCCCAAACAACCCTCCGTGCTGTCCCCGTGGTCCTGTCTGTTCCCTGGAACGGCTCCTTCTAGGCTGCCAACTCCTTCAGGGCTGGGCCGAAATCCGATTCATTTTCACATCTCTGGCCCGTACGCAGTGCCTGGCACAAACGTGAGCTTACGGCACGTCTGCAAACGAAACTCTGATTTTCGACTGTTCTCTCCACTCACCGGTGGTGAGAATTCCTTATGGGACAGTGACCTGGGCAGGGAAGGCAGCGCAGGAGGCAGGGGAAAGAGGTGATTTCCCAGACGTCAAGAAAGCCCAGGTTAGGGGGTCTCACATGCCACGTTCAGGCCTCGCCCCCCGGCCCCTCGGCCCCTCGGCCCCTCTTCCCCTCTCCCTCATTCTTACACGGGAAGTTGGTCAAACAGAGCTGCTGCCCACCCTGGCTCCTGACGCCAGAAGCACAGCGGAGGCTTCTTGCGTTTGACAGTGAGCGGCCTGAACTGTAATAACTTTGAGTCTACATCTGTTGGGGCCGGAGTAAATGAATTTTCCAAGCAACGCCTTATGTCTTTCTCGCATTCGTTTTAATTCTTGAGAATTAAGCAGTGAAGACGTTCTGTCTCTCTGATAACGAATTTTCTCAGCAGCCTATTAAGGAACCATACTAATTCCCTCTCTAATAACGGAAAACTGAGATGAGATGGCAGTTGTTTTTGTTTTCGCGTTTGTTTTTTTTGGCGACAGCATTCACTTCCCCGAGTCCTGTGTTCCCTGGCTGTCTGAGAGGCAGGAAGGCAGAGGAAACAACGAGCACATTCTGACAGGAGGGACGAAATCATCTCGTCTCCACGGAAACTGGAAAGCAGCTTCCTGTGAACCTTCACCACCAACAAACAGCCTGGAAAACCCTGTCGGACTATTATTCTGTGACCCTGGGCACTTTACTGAACCTGGACTCTCCATCTGTGCGAGGGAACCGGTGAGTCAAAAAGGCCTTGAGACAAACGGACCCCGGGCAGCTCCGTTCACACACCGAGGCCCAGCGCACCTGGGAGAGGACACACCTGTGAACACGGACGTGGCGGGGCGGGGGTCGAATCTGGGGTCGAGGTTGAGATTTTCTTTTTCTTCTTTTTTTTGGCACTTTACTGAACCTGGACTCTCCATCTGTGCGAGGGAACCGGTGAGTCAAAAAGGCCTTGAGACAAACGGACCCCGGGCAGCTCCGTTCACACACCGAGGCCCAGTGCACCTGGGAGAGGACACGCCTGTGAACACGGACGTGGCGGGGGGTGGGGAGGGGATTGGGGACGAGGGATGGGTCTGGGGTCGAGGTTGAGATTTTCTTTTTTTTTTTAAACCAGTTCCATTCTTTTCGATTTTCCTGAGAGCCCCGTCTAAGGTCCCCCTTTTTCGGCAGCAGGTGGCGATGTTGCATTTCCTTAACTACCAAGGCAGGGCTTCCTCCAAGACCAGGTTCACAGAGGAAACGCAGGGTCTCTGGGTAAACCCGAGGAAACGAATGACTCCTCGTGGATCCTGAGGGTCTGCACGGACAATTCCGAGGCCGGTTCTGCGCCGACCATGGGTTTCTGGCGCCCTGACATCAGTGGACTGGATGACCCTGTCCTCCCGGCACCACTAACTCCTAGAGACAGTGAAGGAGGCACCTGTGAGCCCCAACGCCCTGCCTGTCTCCTCTGTGGGCTCCTACAACCTGGGTTGTGGTCCGCCTGCCCCGGTCACCCGAGGGCCAGGCACCAGATGACTCGGGGACAGTCGCTGTGCCCCAGAGCCTGCCGAAATGACACAAAGTAAGCAATCCTAAGAGGCTGCCCTGCCTTCCCCAGTCCTTCCTGCAGAAACCACGATACAAGCTCCTGGCCACCGTTTCCCGTCACTGTGCCACCTGACAGAGGCTGGTGCACCCCCAGGCGGCCCTGCCTGGCCTGGCACCCCGTCCTCTTAGAAACTACAAGAAGCAAACCGTCTTTTCAATGGCAGCCATCTCGTGATCTGTGGATCCACACATGAATCCTAATAAAACCTATACTTTAAGACGTGTTCTTTAGCAGATCAAGTAGGACTGAATCTTAGAGCTTCTTTCTGCATCGAAAGGAATGGTGCTCCAGCCCGAGGGCACACCTGGGCCAAGAGTGTTCCTGGGGTTCCATGACCGATGTCACACCCAACCTGGCCCAGGTGATCTCGACCCGAGAATATTTTATCACACTCTCTGACGCAGGAATAAATAGGTGCTACGTCGCTACGTGTTTGCACACATTAAATACTCAAGAGGCCCCGAAGCCTCTGACTTAGGGAAGCCTCAGACTGCTGCAGACTTGACACCGTCCAGCCGGATGACATCGGCCGGGCTCCTTCCTCTGGCCCCTCACATCTGCCTTTTGGCACTTGGGAATCACTGAGTATTTACAGCAAGTGTTAATTAAACGGACCAGCGATTTCATTTCATAATGAGCACGAATGTCACACCGGAAGGCTGACTTTTTGGTAGCAACAAGGGGCGATCGTAATGAGAAGTATAATTGGGACTGCTCTGAGTGTCTGCAGCCAGATCTGTGATGATTAGAATTTCACCGGCGCCAAAGTCTTAACTGAGACACCTAGGTGAGATCTAGCGAGTTCTGGTGAGCAGGCACCTCGTTTGAGATCCATGCCAGCACGGTTCCTGTGAGTGACAGCGAAAAGCAATCGGTGTCCTCACCGGCCAGGAAAGACACCACAGTCAGGTGGTGAACTTGGCTGTAAAATCCCCTCTCCTGGCATCTCCTCTCTTCCTTTTTCCCTGTGGCCCACTTCAGTTTATTGTTTGTGAACGTCTACGTTTGAGGAGACAAATCTCCTCTCTATTTATCTTCCTATAAACAGTGCAAATGACCAGAGCTCCAGGGACACGTGGCCAGAGGGTACACAACTAAAAGAACAGCCCAGACATGGGAGAATCATTCTGAGCACAAACTTGTGTCTATAAAAAGACAGAAGGTCTTCCTTCGGTGGGTTGGCAAATTTTCCTTCTATTTTTTCTTGACTTATTTCTTAGGCCTGTTTGGTGAACACTCTCGCAGTCACTGTCCTCCAACTTGGGGAGCTGGACCCTGGCACTGAACGACGGTCTTTCACTGAAAGGGACCTCGGTCAGCCAGTGGCTACTGGGCTGATTGTAAAGTACGT